ACAGGGTGTTAAATAAAAACAACATGTTATTTGAACATAAAAATTAGAATATAATCATTTTCAGTAATTATTTAAAATTATACACTTAAAGTACATTTATAGTAAATTCAATAAAAAATACCAGTGCAGACGAGATACAAAAAGAGAAAATATTGTTGTTTTAATTACATCGTTGGTTAAATACATCGCTTTCAGTAAATGCAATACAAAAAAAAACGGAACTAAAAGAAATCAAAGTTAAGATGTCACTCGATATAGAAAAATAAAGATAAGATTGAATCACATTCAAAAATTACCCACTAGTGACTAAAAATTTTACTTTCTTAAACGTTTGTTCAAATAGACGGGACCGCTCGGCGTGCCCGCGCCGCGACCGGCGCCAGACCAGTAGTGCGGCCGCGACCGGCGCCGGACCGGTACAATGCGGCCGCAACCGATCCGGCCGGTAGTGCGGCCGGCCGGTCGCGGGTCCGGCGCCGGTCGCGCGCGGCGCTGCAGGCCGAGCGGGGCCACGCACGCGCTAGAAATAAATGTTTACATGTCATCAATTCTAAATAAGATATTTTTCAACATTGTACTCTGATCAGTACGAATACGACTATATTAGACGCCGGGGCCGCGCCGGCGAAGCGTGCGCTGCGCCTCCGCCCTTACACGAATCTCAGACATAATTTAGTTATCAAAGAACATACAGTATAAATAGTGAGGTTAGTATTAACTTTGGCAAATATGAATGAAGCATGGTGATATTGTTTTAGATCGACAACGTTGTGACAAAGACTCTGCGTTTATGACCGAACGCCGCTCAACTTTCTCGTACGTCGCATCGGGTGGTCCTCGAATCTTCGCTCGTCGTCGTGTGATGTCTATCGACCCGATCATTAAACGCTAATCCCTTAAAAAACTGCATAACTTCCCCCGTCGTGGATCTAATAAAGCGCGAGAACATTTGAGCCGCAACAATTCAGTCTTCGAATAAGAAGCCCACGCACATCGCAGTTGCGAGAGTCGCTTGAGCGAGAGACGTCGCCGCGGGTGTGCGTCGGCGCCGAACTGTGCGCTCCCATCGCTGTCTCAACCTTATAAACTAAACGTGATCCGAGCGAATAAACAATGCGGCAGTGTACAAAATTTACATCACATTCACTCGAAATATTAAAGCATACAAGTTAAACGTTCAGCGGCGGAGGAACACATTGAAATGCGATACTGACGACTTTAACTTATATCCACTACATCGGCCGGCGGGCGGGTGCGGGCCGCGACGCTCGGTGCGGCTAGGGTTGCCAGGTCCAAAAACACATAAGCCGGACAGCAGGCAGTCTAATAAAAAGTCTATGTCCGGCTTTATCCGGACGCCTGGCAACCCTAGGTGAGGGCCGTCCCGCGCTACAAGTGGTCGCGACCCGTCGCATTCAAGATGGCGCCTCCCGGGCCCGCACGCGCGTCGCCGGCCGCAAGACTCCAAACTCGCCGCGGACGGGAGGGCCCGCCGGCGAGAACGTTCGAATGATTAAATCCGCATCCACCATCACTCACTCTTTAAAATGTAGTGTGAAGCTTACTTAAATGTAGGTTTTTCGGGTTGAATGTAGAACTGCGCTAATATTATTTTTATTAGTTTTACGTACACATATTGTTACATAACAGTAAAAAACCTACCTAGCAACAAGCGAGCTCGGTGCTCCCACCGAGTCGCTCGACACTGCGGCGCTCGTGACTCGCTCGACACTGTGCGTGACTCGCTCGACACTGTGCGTCGCTGCTGGGCCGCGCGGTCGGGCCGGGTTGCCCCGCGGGCGCGCGGTCACAGTGTAGGCGTTACATTTTCATTTAATCACTTTATACATACTCATAAACACAAAATGAAAATAAATCACCTAACTATGACGATAGTAAAGGTTACTGTCTAATTGCATTATTAATTAATGTTTATTGATACAGTTACTGTCCTAATGCTTAAAAGTAAGATTTTACTTTATTATTAATAATAAATTATGTTATATAGTATATATGTATAGTGTTGATTACGCCGATTCGCGAGTGTATACAAAGTTTATATACTCACATAACTTACACGTGACGCGTCTCCTGCTCGGCAAATAAGTATTCGCGTCTCCCTCTACCTACAGACTGCGCGTATGAAGATTATCATGATCGTAAACATTGGTTAATCACTTAAATACGAAATTAAACATGATAAATTTACATATACCACTTCTAATACGAACGTATGCTAGATAAAATAAATACCTAACATGATTTTTTATATTCGAATACAAGAATAGATCTTATATGGCTACACCTTAAGGATAACTGTAAAGTGATATAGAAAAAATATGAACACAAAAAATATTTAAGATTGTATAATATGGCATAATAAATCAACGCTCTCATAGGATAAACAATTTGTGCGTAGTATGCTTAAACTAAACAGTAACACATCACTCGAGGATGCAACAGAACTAGCTCAAACGATTCGAGGCGTGTAAAATAAATGCTACCACAGCGGTCACAGTTGTGCATCAAAAGTTTATAAAAAAATAATTTCTCATCGCGATATAATACTTAATAATGGAATGACGTCTTGTATCAGTTAAAGTAGGCCTGTGAACGTGTTCATGCTCTCACTACCGTGTTTCAGTACTAAATATTGGTTCCTTTCTGTTTTGGTCCGTAAGAGAGTGAGTATATAAGCGCGGTGTTCCCGAGCCCACCCCAGCGCCGCGCAAGCGACCAAGTGCTCTATTCACATAGCGATAAGGGGTATATTCCGTTTCATTCTGTCCTGAGATCTGTTGTGAGAACTTACATGTTCCGTTATTTGTGCGAATATGTTCTTATTACAAGCTTTTTATTACTTTCACATGTCTGGTGTCTGTCGTCAAATCTTGCAACTTAAAATTGACCCACTTCCCGGTTTTTGGTGCATTAGAACGAGTGGAAACGTCGGTTTGATTCACAGGCCTAAACGGAATATACGTAGTAAAGGTTGTCTGTGCACTCGCCGGGCATCGAACGCGGGCGCGTGGTGCCGGCGCCCGGCTGCGCGTAGCACCAACATTTAGAATCGAACGCTAGATCTAATAACGGCTAGTTAGCGGCGGGAACCCGCGGTAAATCAAACACGGTTTATATTACAGGGAAAGGTGCTCGGTGCCAGCGTTGCGGGTCGCCGACAGTCCGGTTACCTTTGAAAACGAACGGTCGACAAAGCGAAGCGATGCAACATCGATATTAAACTCAGTGGCGGCGTAAGGCGTAGGCGACGTGGGCCACCGCCTACGGCCTCGCGGAACAAGGGGCCTCGCGCATCAAAAATTTTGAAACATTGACTATTAAATATAAATTATTGATAGCTAAACAATGTAGATAAAAAAATGTTTTTTTCCTAACAAATTCAGCCATAATCAGACACAAAATTAAGCAACAACACGGTTTTAAGTGACAAACATTATTCGTTGGCGCAAAATTCCTTTAAAAATAATCACTGAATCAAGAAAATCAGAAACTGTCGATGAATAGACCATTGACCCGTTTTTTTTATTATTTCATAAATTCCGTCTTCAGGTCGCCACAGAACAAGGCCTCGCGAAATCTGTCTTGCCCACATCAAATTTAGGTCTTGCCCCGCCACTGATTAGACTGTACCGGTAGAGCGAAGTTATCGCGATATTGATCCACGTTTCAAAGTCAATCGATAGACTATCGGTGACCCGAGCAACGCTAGCGAGGCTGCCGGACGCAGCTAGGCTCGCCAGTAAGCGGAGTTCACAAAAATATATTATACCCGCTGCCCGCAAACGACGCCAGGCGCTGACACGAGGTAGAGAGAATTGACAAACGGAACGAATATCTGTCGGCGATCGTCGCACCAGTCTCTGAACCGAACGAAAACGCCCTCCGCTTTAGCAAAATCAAATCATGACCCACTCGAGGAAGCGTGAAACAAAACGGCTTGGATTGACAGTGACGGGCGTCGATAGGGTTCCCAACCCTCCCGGATTGCCCGGGAGACTCCGGAAATAATGGTTAACCTCCCGACCTCCCGGAGAGCAATATTATCTCCGGTATTTCTAAAAATTAAATGCATCCATTGCTGCTCATACTTGTTTATAAAATTTATCTTTAAAAAAACCAATCACATGGACCAGCATTACTAAACTCCAGGAATGATTAAATATTGACATAGATATTGACAAATTGTACGATGAGGTTGGACTTTTGCGTGAGGTGCAACCACATCTTATTGAAGAAAGTCGAGTGGATTTACGCTGGGTTGACTTCTTTACGAAATCGAAAGACAGAAGTCCCTGTCCTGAATTAAAAACAATGGTCACGTTTGTTCTTTCCATTCCTGTCTCTATTAATGCTTCATTCGAGCGCGTATTCAGCGTGATGGAGCAACTATGGAGCAAGCCCCCCCCCCACAATTCTCCCGGGTTGGTCCTTTCAAGAGTTGGCAACCCTAGGCGTCGAGCGTGATATGACGCGGTCGGCGCTTAGTACAGGCCGCAGCCGCGAAGGTTGTTGGCGATGATGACGTCGGTGACGGCGTCGAACACGAACTGGATGTTGTTGGTGTCGGTGGCGCAGGTCATGTGGCAGTAGATCTCCTTGGTGGTGGACTTGTTCTTGGCCTCGAACTGCGCCTGGATGTACGCGGCCGCCTCGCCGTACTCTTGCGCGCCTGAAACCGAGCGAGAATGTTACGACTGTCAACAATGTCATCATGACGACTATTTTCTAGGTATGCCAGAAAAACTATGTACTACTAGCTTTCCGCCCGCGGCTTCGCCCGCGTGGAATTTTGACTGTCACAGAAAAACTATATCGCGCGCGTCCCTGTTTCAAAAACCGGGATAAAAACTATCCTATGTTCTTTCCCGGGACTCAAACTATCTCTATGCCAAATTTCATCAAAATCGGTTGCAAAGTTTAAGCGGGAAAGCGTAACAGACAGACAGACAGAGTTACTTTCGCATTTATAATATTAGTTGAGATGGGATATCACAGAAAAACTATGTACCATCATCATTCTCGTTTCAGCCAAATGACGTCCACTGCTGGACAAACGTCCGTATTCACAAACATTGCTATGAGGTCTCACAGTACGCGTGGACGCACAGGGTGACACACGAATCAACCAGAGAGCTCTATTCAACTCTCTGCGTTCGATTTGCTGTTTCACTTAAGAGCGTTTACGTCTAGCGTGGCATGTCAAGTTTAGGTAATTTCGATGCTATTTTTATTCACACTAAAATAATTGTGACTGTGTGCGTGTTCTCACGCTCTATAGTCAAACCAAAATATTTTGATCCACCATCGTAAAAGTGTGCCAGGCTGTCAAGTGACAGCCCAAAGAAACTATAAAATCTTCAAATCTTCTAACACCGACTCTATAATTATAAATAATGGTATACATTAGNGTTGGTCCTTTCAAGAGTTGGCAACCCTAGGCGTCGAGCGTGATATGACGCGGTCGGCGCTTAGTACAGGCCGCAGCCGCGAAGGTTGTTGGCGATGATGACGTCGGTGACGGCGTCGAACACGAACTGGATGTTGTTGGTGTCGGTGGCGCAGGTCATGTGGCAGTAGATCTCCTTGGTGGTGGACTTGTTCTTGGCCTCGAACTGCGCCTGGATGTACGCGGCCGCCTCGCCGTACTCTTGCGCGCCTGGAAATGGAGTGACGTGGTCACGAGCGTGTCAACAATTTATTTATACGCCAGAGAAACTATTCATCATCATCAAGTAAATGCGCGCAGTGAATGCTAAACCATCACCAACCATCAAAAACCATCTCTAATCACCTGATGCAAATGGAGGAGTTTCACCATCATCATCAGGTCATTACATTAAGTCTCCACTGCAGGAGTCCAACCCTCCTGGTACAAGAGGCAAAATAGGAATGTTTTGACCTCCCCACACTAGCAAAACAGGTTAGGCTTGATGTTTACATTTTTTTTATGTGACAGGAGGCAAACGAGCAGACGGGTCATATGATTGTAAGTGATTTGTTCCTTAGTCGACTCTTATGACATCGAAAGGAAGATTGGGAGTGCTACTATTCTATTCTGTTTATTACGAGAAGCTAAAACTACCCATTTACTTTCATATAACAATGCCATTGACACCATCGTAGGCCTTATTCCAAAAATTTACGTTTAGGGGCATGATTCTTCCCAGATTCCCACTACAGTATACACTGTGTATTGTAAATGCAATAAATGAAATGAAGGACAACCTAAAAGTTAGCCAACCAGTTGTAATTACCTGTGTATTCAGGAAAGCATATAGTGAGCGGGGACTTGCGGATCTTCTCCTCGAACAAGTCCTTCTTGTTGAGGAACAGGATGATGCTTGTGTCCGTGAACCACTTGTTGTTGCAGATCGAGTCGAACAGCTTTAGACTCTCCTGCATACGGTTCTGGAAGGAGGGAAGTTATGGGTTAGTCGCGTGGTTTTCATGATCAATCATTCTAGTCTATGGCAGTCCAATGCTGGACGAAAGAACTGCTGGAAGAACAGAAAGTAAGACCTCTCGCTTTAATTTAGCTAGACACTGCCAGCTATCCTCTTGACATCATCCATCTTACGTGGTACTGTTATCTTTAAATTACAGTCTGCTTCATGTACTATCACACAATAAATTGATATTGATGTAACGTAATTAAATCGGAGGAAAACTTATCAGGGGTTGCAAACATGCCTGAATACAAAAGGGGTAAAGAATGAGTATGTCTCAAGTAGCATTGTTGCTATGCTTACGAGAATAGGCATGTAAATGAGATTTATAACATTCTAAAGCCTGGTCCGTGAGCACGTAGAATTTTGTCCAATGACCCCAAGCTACCCATCCTTATCGCTCGCGCGTAATTATATTGCTGTCGCGACTGTGCGACGGGCGCCCGCAGTGAGTGTGCCAGGCTTTATCTCATATTGTTACAAGTTCAAGCATCTTTTCAGTGAACACAGAAAGTCTACCAACGGAAACAACAGACTGGGTGTAGTTTTCCTTCGCCTAATATCTCCTGTCTTTTAAATAAAGCAAGTATAATTACCGTTGTTTCGTCCTCATGCAGGACCTGGTCGTACTCGGACATGGCGACACAGAAGATGATCGCTGTCACGTCCTCGAAGCAGTGGATCCATTTCTTTCTTTCGGACCGCTGTCCACCTACGTCGAACAATCTGGAAATTGCATACAGTTGATCAGCCATAGTAAATACATCTTAGATAGGTACTATTATCTTTTCTATGATACCGATTCCNAGTGCTTTGTTTTGAATTTTTAAAATTTATGAGTCATCCTAACATTTTAGAATAATTTTCATTCGTTTCACCTTTGGATTAATATTTTGAGCAAGTAAAATCAACACAATAATATTTTAAAATACTTTTTATTACTCCCATTCTTACATAATGCTATTGTGTGCAATAATGGCACTAATGACTTAGTTAAAAGCTATTCAGGATTAGCTATACTTTCTAATTCGTTACTAATTTCTTTAACTCAGATAAGGCTCTAATTTCCAGACTTTCCACCGCTACCACGTGTCTTGGCGTTACGGCGAGCTGACTTACAGCGTGACTCCAACGTATATACCTAATGAGCCGCTTAAATTCGAGCTGATACCAAGAAAAGGGGATTGCTGAGAAACCTGCCAAAGATTTGAAGATTTCTTTTATACTGTCATGTTTATTTATGTTGTAAGACCGCGATAAGATAGCGAAGTATGTAGATTTGTAGTGATATTGATAATTTTTGTTACGAAAGACAAATGTATAAAACAGATGTAACTACTAGGGATTGCAATTGCTGGATCCAGCATGCAGCAATCCAGCTGGATCCAGCGCCTTTTTAAACATGCTGGATCCAGCATACAGTGCTGGATCCAGCGATGCGGATCCGCAAACGTATAATTTTCTATTGCTTAGTTTCGAATTGCCGCCATTTTCAAAACGGCGTGGTGCCGTTGCCGTTCTGTTATTGGGTGCGTTGAACGGCGCCTCTCTAAAGTTACTGGTACGTTAGTGTGCTTGAAAAATCCAAAAAAGTATGAAGAAGAAGTAAAAAAAACTGTCTTTTTTCCTTTGCCAAAAAATAATGCGACAGGAGATGAAAACTTTGTTAAATCGAGTAAATAAACAAAATAATATTGTAGAGCCGGTGCAAGAAGATAAAGATATCATGGAGTTAGAAGAGAATGGTCTAATGATAACGCGGAACCCGTGAAAATGACTTTAGAGCAAGAGCTTGAGATGGAACTTAAAAGAGAGAAGGAGAACTTTAATAAACAAAACCCAAAGCCAAGATTAGATTACGAAAAGGTACTGAAAAAAGAAATGAGCGTTTAGGAGACCGAACGAGTGCGAGGTGAACATTTATCTATGGTGTATGACTATTTAATGATCCTAAAACCGACTAGTGTAGAGGCCGAAAGGGCATTCTCAGCAGCCGGCTACATATGCAGTTCTGTGCGGTTGGGAGTTTAGACTATAAGTAGATAAAATTTGTTTTCTAAGGTCTTACTTCCAGAGGATTCAAAAAAAGACATGGTCAGTCTCTTGTCGTCAGATTTTAAACTGCCTAATTATCGCAGAAGATATATTATTTCGGATTAGTAACTTCTATTAATACAAAAAATTGATTGCAGATTAAATTACGGTCCTTTTCGTAGTTAATTTTATAAGAATTTTTAAGACTGTTTGTCCTACTGATTAGCCGTATTTCATAGATTATGTCGTCTTTTTATATTCGTTCCACATTTTGCTGGATCCGCGCTGGATCCAGCTGGATTCAGGTCAATCCAGCAAGAATCCAGCTGGATTGAAAACGCTGCTGGATTGCAATCCCTAGTAACTACGAGCATAGTAAAACAAAAATCTGTAAACTAGTAGAGCGCACCACAAGAACTATGTACCGATATTTCATTATTTTGTTAAGCATTTAAATTCCCATTCTAGATTAATAAATCATAGGCATAGACTAACTAGTTATGTATCCAACCAACCACCATAAGACAAGTTATCGTTTTAATTAATTTTCGATCCAGCATTATTTTATAACTTATACAAGTTCTGTTGGTTGCCCACGCACGGGAAAAGCCTTCCCTACCCCTTTGACATTTTCTTTAGTAGGTATTTATGTTTTAAAAATTCATAATTTTAATGGTGGAAGCACATTATTATGACTTGAGACTTTGAGATTTCTCAACAATAACACTTTGTTACGTGAACTAACAATGAAATAACTACAATAAAATGGCTCGAACTTTAAATCCTTTACCGGCTGCCTCGCTTGGTAATTGTCATTAATGAATACTATTGTGTGTATTACACGTCACTTAGTGCGATTGATAGCAAAAAGTACATATAGTTAACTATTCAAGACAGCGGCTTATGATGAGCGTAATTTTTTTTATAGCCACGATAGCCGAACGGTAAAGGGGTCGGAGTGCCCGACTCGAGATCCGAGGAACGCGGGTTCGAATCCCACGCTCGACTATTGTGGTGAGCCCACTCGTAACACAAGCTTATTTAGCTTACCACTAGGGGCTAACGGGACTAACTACAAAAAAATAAATATTTGCTTTTTCTCGTTGAAAAGGTATCTACTAACACCCAGTTTCTGGATCAAGATTCTCCGCGCTTAGACAATAGGGACAAAACTTAGGGTATGTATGTAGTGTAGGGGCGTAAAATATCTAAGGGAGGAGCAATTTTTCTCCATACTCCCACTTCTCATCGCTACCACTCCCTGCAACTCCTGGATACCCAGAATCTAAAGTCTACAGTTGCTGTTATGGGAAAACAGTCCGCAATACAATATCCAGGATCCAATATGGCTACGATTGCTAGGCTAGGACATGATCTATAAAAGCGATCAAGCAACAGTCAGGAATCACCAGTTTGGCTACCGTTGCTGGCAAATGGTCTGTAAAAGTTACATAACAGCCAGTATCCTGTTTTGGCTCCGATTGCTAGGATATGGTCTGAAAAATTACAGTTACACAGCCAAGGATCTACAGGATCCAGTTAGTCTACGACGATTGCTGGTCTAACGGGACTATTCCCACCTCTCGTTCTCACCACTGCAACTCCTGTGTAGCCAGGATCTACAGCTTGACCGCCACAAAAACCCAACTAATGAAGGTCAAGTTTGTCCCCTGGTGTAGGCGTCTAGCAAATGTTTTGTTACTCACTATTTGGCCGAGTCGTTGAGCTGGTACTCATTGGAGCGGCCGAAGCACTCCTGCACCCCCGCGTCCGCCCAGAGCCTCTTCATCGCCGCAAGCAGCTCCTCGCTGAACGGCTCCGTGTCCTCCATCCGCTGGATCACGTCGAACACCATCTTGCCGTCACTCTGTGGGAAGAGGATAGGAAGGTAGAATAAATCAGTAGTGGCGTGTTTCCATACAAATACGCGTACAAACATTTTTTCTTTCTTTCTTCTTTCTTACAATAACGCGCGCACTAGGTTGACTGACGATCTGGTGAAGGTCGCGGGAAGAGCCTGGATGCGAACAGCGCTGGACCGGTCGTTATGGAAATCCTTGGGGGAGGCCTATATCCAGAAGTGGACGTCATTTGGCTGAAACGAACGAACGAACGCGTACAATATAAATCTATAGGTAGTTATCAATCATTTAAATTAACACACATTATGACGTCATGTCAATAGTTTCATAGTTTTGTATGGTAAACTTATGGAAATATTGGGAATTTGGGATGTCTGTCTAAAACTTCCAAAAGTATGTCTTACCTAAAACGATTTGATTTGCAATTAACATTGGGTAAATCTACCTACATTTTTATACTAAATGATCGTAATTAAATGCCAATTTCAATGTNGCAATATTTTCTCAATTAACTATTTAGACGACGAAATTTCCTAACTATTTATGCCTATAACATATTTGTAGTATTACTGGTTAATGATTGTAACGAGTTGAAAAAGTACTGTTTTTGCGCCAAACGGCGTAAACGCTCTTAAGCAAGAATCGTTTGTGAATACGGGCGAAAGGTCTTGCGCTGCCCGCATCATCATCATTAAATGTGTAATATGCCAGAAAAACTATTCATTGGCATCAGGTGGTTTTGTCTCCATTGCACGATTTACCACAGGCAAAAGGGACAATATTCCTAACTCGTCTGTGGAATATCTAGGTCCGTTTATCCCGACATACGACATCCACGGGACGATTGCGAGTGCTATGCTACTCTGCTGTTACAGGAAGCTCATACTAAAACTACCAATTTACTTTCAATACCATTGACACGATCATGGGCCCTATTTAAAAAAACGTTTAGTGGCAACCGGCATGATTCTTCCCATATATTGCCACTACCTTAGTCTTAAGGCCTAAGAGTTATCAAACTATTTCAAATTACCTGTGTATTCAGGAAAGCATATAGTGAGCGGGGACTTGCGGATCTTCTCCTCGAACAAGTCCTTCTTGTTGAGGAACAGGATGATGCTTGTGTCCGTGAACCACTTGTTGTTGCAGATCGAGTCGAACAGCTTTAGACTCTCCTGCATACGGTTCTGGAAGGAGGGAAGTTATGGGTTAAGCGCGTGGTTTTTCATGATCATTATCATTTCAGCCTATGGAAGGAAGTCTACTGCTAAGGCCACAAAGCGCGATCTCCTGTTTTCCATCAACGGCCCCTCGAGCAGGCAGGAGTTGTAAGTTGCTTTATTTACCAAATTATATCATAGGATTCATCATAACATTAAAAATAATAGGAATAGGGATTTTATGTGATTGGTTACTCAAACCGTCCTATTCTCATCTTTACTTATTTTGATTACAGTCATCTCAAACTATGAAAAATAAATGTTTCAAGTTCAAAAATATCTACATCTTGCAAGTACAAAATATTTTATTATTAAGTTTTACCTGAGATGCTTTAAAAGTATGTAATTTGCAATTTAACAGGACGCAATGTTTATAAGAATTAAGAATAGGCACCATTGGAAAGATGTAAATGAGATGAGAGAGACCAACTATCAAAAATTGTTACACGTCCCAAAAGTCTGTCCGTCGTCTTTCAGTCTGTTTTCAGTCGTTAATTTTGCCAGCTAATTTCTCCTGTCTTTTCCATAAGGTCCAATAAATCATAATTACCGTTGTTTCGTCCTCATGCAGGACCTGGTCGTACTCGGACATAGCGACACAGAAGATGATCGCTGTCACGTCCTCGAAGCAGTGGATCCATTTCTTTCTTTCGGACCGCTGTCCACCTACGTCGAACAATCTGGAAAGTGCATACAGTTGATTAGCATAGTCAATAAATATCTATACTATCTTTTCTATGATCCCGATTTCAGCGACAAGCAACACTGCCTATCGTCGCTCTCCGTAAAAATTGAGTGAATCAAGTTTTCTTTGAATTAGTATGAATGTCTTGTTGCTAATACATTTTACTGGTGTCAGAAGAAAACTTTAAGGCTGGGTTGCACAATCTTACCTAACTTTGACAAACGTCAAAAAACACCGGTTATCGTTAAAGTTACTGTCAAAGTCATGTGGTGCATTTCAGCCTAAAAGCGTGTTGTATTAAATTTTATGACTTTTTCTTGTTAACAACGCAAATTATACAATCAAGAAGACCACAACAGTAGTATTAAATTTCGACACCAGCGACAAACAGCAAAAGGATTTTTATACGTAAAAGTAAAGAAAATGTCTGTAAATATGTCAATATCAACTCATAAGGTGAAGCTAGAGGTCGCGACCGATGCGACATCGAATAAACTTTCTTCTGAATCGTAAAATTGAAAAAATCCTAAAGCATTGTTTACTATGGTCGCAAAAAATTGTGTGCGTCAGTCGCACGCATTGACCGCCAGTCATTATTTATTTATTTAAGGCTCACAAAACAAGTTACAGTCATTGTTAGGACCATATTTCAAACAGAATAATAATCTAAACCGCAACTCATAAACATGTGGGCATAGAATTATTAGAATAATAATGAAATTAAGATGCCATTGAAGTCTACCATAAATGTATGATGTTATGGGAGATGTCATTTAAATAAACATACAACTTATAATAATACATATTTTATCTAGAATTACTAATTCAATACTCAGACGAAACAATTTAGAATGGCTGCTTAATGATTCCGACGATGAACTTGAACTTACTTTACTAGTACATAAAATACTATCTAATCTGATATTACATAAAAAATTATAAAAACATGAGAAAACTTCTACAAAATAATTCAAAAGGAACGAACCACGTTCAAGTTTAACTGCATCGTTCCAAGTTCGGTTGTTTGATGAGATGGGTCTTTCATAAACCAAATAAAAACGAAAAAGATAAAGCCGGTTTCTGCTTTAGGTACTTCAAATGCGGAATAAATTATGGCTGCTGAGATGCAAATTGAATTCAAGAGCTAATTGTTCAACTTCCTGAGCCAATCAGTGCACTATGAAAATGGTTTACTAAAATAAAGCCAATATTTTGCACAATCAATACTTCTGTCCTCTTTATTTGATTTAAACTGACTCATTTACATTCCTTGATTGGTGACACATTTCGTGATTTGTCTCATTATGCTTGTGGCCTACAAGGAAAATGAAATTATAAAGAACTCAATTATAAATTATCACTGTAATCTTTCAAGGGTTTATGGGCACAGCAAATACTCATACATGTGTTTAGTAGACAATAACAAATTGTGAAATTGCTTTTTTTTAGCCTCAGTTGCACCACCTTAACTTTAACCGTGACTATAACTTTAATCTGTGTTTTTAATGGGGTTTGACAGACTTTTGACGTTTCTTAAAGTTAGATGGTGCAACCCAGCCTAAATAGCTAAATTGGGTAAAATTATACTCACTTGAAATTAAGGTTTTTGAAGGAGAAGTGCACTTCGACAATGCCAGTTGTTTTGACTCTAGTTCTTAAAATATCTTGTTCGGTGGGCTGGTAATCTCTAGCACCTAACCGGTCCAAGTCGTCGAGGAAACTGTAAACAAACACAAAAATATTAATTGATAACACTGATTAATAAAAAATTCGCTGGTTGGGTTTTTATTGGCGGTCAAGCTGTAGATCCTGGCTACACAGGAGTTGCAGCGGTGGGAACGAGAGGTGAGAATAGTCCCGATGATTAATAAAAAAGAATAAAAACAATGGATTAAATTACGCAGTGAGCATTGCCGTTTTAAATGCTTCTTATGCATTTTACACACAATTTTCATTTTTCTTCATGATTAAAATGCAGCGAGCTACCGGTTAAAACTAAATCGATGGAGAAAGTGATATTTTTAAGTTGAGGTAGAAACTAGCTTTGTATCTATCATGTTGTATTCCCTATGTTTATAAGCTGTATGTTTTCTAAATATTATAAAATTAAATAAAACATACAGCAAATACAAATTACATCCACCAATAAGGAAACCATATGGCTAGCATAAATTAAAATATCAAAATCAATAAATCAACAGCACACTAAACTGGGTACGTGTAAAGAATCGCGTATTCGCAAATTATACATTCAGTCTGTTGTGATTGTGTTCTGTTTGGTGCACGATGGCCATAATTTTGGTGTGATCCCGGTGGAAAGCCGAAAACAATGGCGTTGCAATGCGCCGCTTGCTGCATTGGCACCGCAGTAATAAAATCAAGGATAAAAATGTCAAACGAACGAAATATATGAAGCAGTTAGCACCTGTTTCGATGCCTACTCTAGTTCACACTCAACATATAAGCGGATTTAAGTATCAATTAAAGTTTTTTAGTCAGTATTGGACGGATATGGACGTCATTTATTCTGCCATTTATGGTACACAAGAATTAAGAAAATAAAAATGGTTCTTTCCGTGTATATTTTTTTGAGTCTGGTTAGTTTTCTAGCAGAGTTAACATTTTTTCATTTAATAGAAATACAGTATTATATTGGCCTGCAAAATGTGTCTCAAAAGTATTTGATTTAGCCATATAATATGAGATATTTATCTAACAAGAATATGTCTTTAAAATGTTCCAACGCCACTTTTATTGCCGAGTTCGTTCTTGACCCCAATATCAGATATGATCTATTATTTCAAAGGCATTCATCGGAATGGAACTCCACAGTAATGGTGACCGTTTAGGCTTATTTACTTTGCAGACAGGCAGTCAGGCAGATCCGGTGGACTGCCCACCAGTTGCTGGTAGATTCTGCCAACTATTCGTCGCATACATATTAACGAGTTGCAGAATCACGCCAATTTAAAACACTTCAGAGCAGTTTTCATCGTTAAGTTTCACCCGTTCGTGTCGAACTGGTCCTTTGAGCCGGATAGCAATCAGTCAAGTCAATTAGTAGTCAAGTGAAAACATTGGTTTTCTAAGACCAGTAATCCGTTATCTTGGCCAATCTTAATTTACTATGATCCACGGATTGTGTTTTCAATTTGAATTGAAGGAAACCCCACCTACGCTTCCATCTTTGCCCTGTTTAGACTTACTTCATTAATCAGATTCCTCATCCATGGTAATTTATGCAAATAAGTAATGGGCTTCTAAACATTAATTAAGTCATAATGTACAGTGAGATATAGTATGTCTCGGTTGCGTGATCGGAGACAGGTCCCCGCGTCCGGTGCGGGCCCACCAGTTGCGACCGCGGACGCCGCCGCATACATATTAACGAGCTAGAACGCCGTTGCACGCGATTCTTACATACAATTAAGAACATTTCACACTAGATTTAGTAGCACGAGTTTACATCGTTATTGTATCTGACATTGTTTTGTTTTAATAACGTTGTTGTTGCGACAAAATGGTTTTGGCAGTACATGCCTTTAGTAAGCTGAATTATTTGAGTGTTTTGAACATTACTGTGTATGTATTGGACAAAATGAATGAGTAACCAACTGGCCGTGATCCCTATAAGCAGATAAAATGAATAATAACTTTCAAATGACTGCTACAACTATAGATGACTATTAACGACCGCACGAGAGTAAACTAACAGTCACCAGAGATGAATCATTTGTTTCCGACGAAGTGACGTGATCGCGAATGGTTCTCGGACGCAAAAAAGGCGATGATTTTTTTGATATCATTGTACTTTTAAATGAGTTTAATTACATGGCAAAGTAATGTAGAATTAAAATTTTAAATAACAGCCAAAAGAGCGCGTGTGAAAGGCCAAGTAGGTGAACCGGTAACTTCAACAATCTTCCAACCTAAATGAAAAACTACGTTCGCACGTCACGCGAGCTTTTTGTAAAGTAGAAACTTTTGCGGTGCGCCTAACTGCTACCCACTTGGCGGAGCTCTTTGAGTTATTGCATATGAAGAGGACAAAGGGAGGGGAATGAGCGAATGACTCATGCGATGAGAGGGCGAAAATCGTTTTCACTATCGATTTGTTGAGTGTCGTTTTAAAATGGTTGTATTTAGCTGCAAATGGTCAGAACGACATGGTCTATGTGAGTAATCGATGCATTTCAAGGCCAAAGTGTATGGATCGAGTCGCCCCGTTGGCCAGCTGCCAGTACAAACCTAGATTTAACTTGCAACTTAGCGACAAACTTCGCGAGATTGCCATACAAGCTGAATTGACGAATTATAATTAGACTCGGCAACACTTGCGTGCGACTATTTCTGTCTTTGTATTTACTTAAATATGTACACGATGCAATATCCAATAAATATCGGATAATGTTGAAATATGTAATAAATTGAGTTTCTATTGTGCTGCTTTATTTTAAATAAAATAATATATTGAGGTACGTACTCAAACAATAAATGTAGGAGTGTATCACAGAAATATATCGAATATTAGTTATCATTATAACGTCTAAATAACATTAACTTCGAGTTTAAATAATATGTAATTAGGTTTACATCTTATATTTGTCTTTTCAATATTAACAATTTGTTAAAGGTAGCCTCCATCTCCCCTATAAACATGGATCGGTGACTATGCAGTGAGTCATTTATACACGAGTAAAGGTACTAAGTTCAATATTTTTCCACACACTTATTGACGTTGTCGTTGTGTTTTTACCTATTATACGCAATACAAGTATTATTTATTACTGTTATCTATTCTGTTATTACTAATTTTTTTGAGTTTTATTACGCCCAATTGCAGTTTCTGATAAGTCTATTAACAAAAACAACAAACGAAGCAGTTAATAAGTTATACTTTAGTGCTGAGTTAGACAAATCTTACAATTGACTGAATGGCATTAATAATAATGTTTCAATATCTAAATTGATAACTTGACGGTAAAGGCCCTCTTCCAGATTTTGCTGTATCTGGCCATTCGCGTGCCTTCTGGCCAAAAATAACTCGAAAGCCAATTTAAAATTTGCAGCGCCGATTTATAATATAATCAGGATCTTTGTATCCTAAAATATTCAAAGTGTTCTGCTTAGATTTCGCTTTCTATGCGTAATACATACGAAACTGAGCCGAGAGCCAGAGGCTGGGGCGCAGTTTCAATGTCAGGGGGTGGCGCTCACTTGGAGTCGAGCCAACTGACATATAGGATGCTGCCATCCTCGCCCGACCTGTCAACTGGAAAAACCACTCCGTGAATTGCTTAAACGACGCTATTATTATGCCTAGGGTGTGGTTGGTAGCGCGAATTACGCATTTCAATCTACACTGCCGTTTGATTTAATACTGGCTGGTGATTCAAAAAAGAAACACCGGTATGCCATTAAAAAGTTGTGGACCCCACAAAGTTCCGATCAAGACATTACCGACGCACAACTATCCGAAGAACGCGTTGTGCGTGAAGGCAATGCGAGCATTACGGAGCATCAGGCATCTTAAACACTCTCGTGAGACGGTATTATAATTAAAACATTAAGTACTCGTGTGCGTGAAATGTTCACGAGTGTTTATCGTTTGGCCGCTTTTTCGCTTCGATCCTAGGCGCTGCTGACGTCAACACTCTGTCAACATTAACTGGGTCAGTAGACAAGGATGAATTACATTTGGACCAGCCGAAATCATTACACTATCGAGCGGAGTACGCGACGCTCTCGCAGAACGTCAATACTTTGGGAGATGCGTTGAGATGCGAAATACAATTAAGAAATTTTAGCTTACGCAACTTAAGTTGCAAGTTGGTAGGATTTGTGATAGATATTATGAAGAATGATTCTAGTTGCAGGAGTTTCAATGCATAAAATCCATGTATGGCTGTGCGGGCGTTAGACGCCGCCCGGCAACAGGTCCGTCCGATCAATACGCCGCGCGCCCGCGCCCTTTCGTACCCTCGCTACGCCCGACCCGCACAGCCGGAGCCCGCGCGAAACACGCATCGCGGACCGCCTTATTACATCACGCACTAGAGAGGACACGCCGGAGGTGTTGGACAGACTGATGGATGGCGTGAGGACACGAAGACTTGATAATAACTAACACATGGTCTGCAAGGAAGACAAAGGCACTAGCTCAACTGTTACAGTTCTCACAGGCGCGTTTTTTCCTGGCTCTAACTGCGCGAGTAAGGCATTACGATATCGCCTTAATTATAACGTCAGCATTCACGACCTAGATCTGAGGACATAACGGAGGTTGTTAAAAAGTAACGAATGGGGAGTTGTCACGCTATTTTAATATCTGCCGCTTTTGAAGCATATTCTTGAACTGTAGAATAGTCACTTCAATGAAAGTATACAAGCTTATTTTTATCTGCAGAAGCATATTTGTATGTATACAGACTGCACTTGAACCGTATCGGGATTGGGAGGAATGAACACTAATGTAAACAGAGGTGAATCTAGCATCTTGGCAGTCGTTCAGAAATGGGGGCGAGAAGTTGCGGTCGTTGTGACTCGAGGTGGTTATTTGTCGCAGTTAGCGGGTGGAGGTCGGATGGCGCAGTTCAGGGTCTGCTCGCGGCGGTGTAAATGGTTCCGGCATTAGCGCGCGCGTCATGCGATCGGCACATAAATCTGTCGCTACCCTCGCCCGCAGTCGCGACGCGAGGTGGGCGGCCGCTGCAGAGCAGT